GAGATAGCTAAGTCATAATTATGAATTAGTATCTCATAATTATGAGATAGCTAAGTCATAATTATGAGATACCTAAGTCATAATTATGACTTAGCTATCTCGATAGCTAAGTCATAATTATGAGATAGCTAAGTCATAATTATGAGATACAAGTTTTATTTATTTTTTATCAGGGTGGCGGAAATGGGCTTCCATATATTGGACTATGTTAAAAAATGTTTAAAAAAATACTCATACTTACAAAAATACGCAGCAATTCTTGACTGACTATGTTTCCAGCTGGGATAAAAATAAAAAATAAAAAAGTAACACTTCAACATGGCGGCGTTTGATAGGTCGTTAGCAGGACGTAGGTTAAATCCGTAATATGGATTCAAAAAAGGAAAATAAGGCCTCATTTCAGGGATGATTTGAGAAATAAAACAAAAGGAATAACAAACATTTGTCACAGGAGGAAAAACTATTATTACACTTCCGGGGCGGAAATACAAAGCAATGCTAATTGATTAGCTAGCTAGCCAGTTAATTGTTAGCCAGGACTCGCGCAGCAGTCAGCTCGAGCTGTTGCTGCTGACTCATCACCAAGATGTCTGTCCTCCTCCAGGCACACTCCTCCACAATTAMCCCCAAAATGCAGATAACTCACAAACTTTTTCTGCTAGAAAACGCCCGAAATAAGTTGGAGCAAGAGCTTCGCAACTTCACAGACCAGGTAAGAAAATGAATTATTGAACTCCGCATGTGTGTTAGCTAAAGCAAAAATTGTTAGCATCCATGCGACATGCCATACAAACGTCTGAATCGTATCTTCCTGTGTCACACTACATTTTACACATAATTTAACTAGCTGCTTAGGACCCTAATTTAACAACGTTGTTTATATAACTAAATAAGTAATTTAAAAGTTGCTTACAGCCACACTTATGCTCAGTTATATTGGCTTAATTAAATCAGATGTGCACAAAGCAGGTCTGATGAAAACGTAATCATAAATAACCTCCATGAGTCTAATTACTGAGTAGAGTTTTAAGGTTTTCTTTACAGAGCTACGTGACATTTTATTTGTTGTATAAGGCTTACCATTTTTCTATTGTGCTACTCAGTAGTTCTCTTTAAACATAAAGCCTTGTTTGTGTTTTTTTTAACTATCCCAGCAGATTTGAAAGAGTTTAATTTTGTGTAGTGTTCATTTATCCCCCAGCAGTTCTGTAAAGAATTAAAAGAAAACGGCCTGGTGTAGATCTTATCTGGATAAATCTTCAGAGAAAGGCCTTTTTTTAAAGATTTTTTTTATTTATTGTAAGATTTTCCTTCATCCTAACTAACCCCATAATTAAAACAGAGTTTAGATGGATTGCAACAAATCTGACATAAACTAATAGATTTAATCCAAACTGTAAAACCAGCTATAATCTGTACGTTTGCTGAAGTCATAAATACTAGGGAGGGATAAAAGAATCTAAATAACTTTAAAGTCACAGCTGGTACTTTTATTTTTTATTTTTCTTGTATAAATTAAATGCATGTTTTACTTCTTTCATTTGTCCACCAGGCGTATCAAGATGCTCACAATGTCCTCAATTCTTCGCTTCCTACCTGTGTTTTAATCGATCTAACAAATAATTTGGACGCAAAGTGTCAAGAAATGAGGAAGCTTTCAGCTTTATTAAAGGACCTTATTGTTGGTAAGTTTAAATACAACACAGTTTAAGTTTTAAGTTTGATTTTACTGTTCAGATAAAATTAGCCTGACTTTTTTTAATGATACTTTATTAAAAGCTTCAGGCTACTATCTAGTTTCAAACTTAAATGTAACTTTAACTAAATAATGTCCTTTCTTTGCTTCCCTGGTGTTTAAAGAACACAAATTTTGTGTCCAGCCTCCTGCCAAAACAAACTCCTTTCAGCCGTTTGAAGTCAACGGGAGTTCGAGGATGGGCGTCATTAAGTTTGGGTCGTTGTTGCAGAACTTCCTTATGTCGAGCTCCATGTCAAAAGCTGTGCATGTGCTCGGAGCCGCTTTGTCCTGTCGGCAGCTGAAACTTCCCTTCAGCTCCCAGCCTGTGGTAGTGCAGCAGGCTGACATGTCAGGGGTGTCGTCCAGCTTCAACATTACATTCACCACAAGCTCCTCCTCTGATTTAAAGCCAGCAGAACTGTCTGTTTTAGAAGAAAAGAGCCAGCCAGACTCTGTTTGCRTCCCTCCTGCCATTACTCAGAGCTGCAGGATCAATGAGGAGAAGTTAAACATGCTACCGCCTCCTGTCCAAGTTGTGTTCCCGGAGATCAATAACCGTAAGCCGCTAACAATCTGGGAACGTGACGATGACGTCCAGGTTCAACACCAAAAACAAACCTCCTCGCAGCTGCTGCACTTCCTCAGAGTAAAAGCCAAAAACGAGGGTGCACTCGAGGTCAACGTTTTGGAGTGGACTAAAAGTAAACCTGAGGCAAACAATCCCAGTTCGCCCGAGCGGATGTCACCTACTGTCAAAACACAAAGCCACCAGTTCAGACATGTTGTGACTGATGATCCGGTGGGTGAACTTCCTCCAGCGTCGTCGCACGCGAGCATTGAAAGCCAAGCTCCCGTCTTCAGAGTGAAAAGAGTCAAGTCAGGCGGATATTTGATCTACAGTTGTGTGATTGCAACAGAAACGGAATTATGGGATGTTGGGGACGTCTTCACGAAGGTGTTAGAGCTGGACTCTGTGCATATGAACTTGGAAAGTAAAAAATGGCAAAATACCATAACTTACGCAGAGAACCAACCAGACACAGAGTGGACTTCTCACACCCTGCAGTGCACAGAGCCTGATCCAAACAACAGCCCTGCTTGTTCAGAAACGCTGCTGCCTAAAACTGTAAACATCCCCGAGTTCCAGATCCGCAGGTTTGAAGAGACTGAGGTGGTGGTGTCTCACGTTGTCAGCCCTGGCAGCTTCTACATCCAAAATGCTGACAGTCTGGAGAAGCTGCAGGCACTTTTCACAGGGTGAGCATGAAAACCTGGAGTTTTATCTTTTATTTTTAGTTTTTATATATATAATCACTCATTCTCTGATTTCAAATGAACAGTTTTTTATTATTATTGATTTTTGTGGATTTTATGTTTATTTAAAAGCAGTAACATCAAAACAAAGTAAACAGTGTGGCCAAATAAAGCGCAGCTCAGTTTAATGCTGCCAGACACTTATAGATTTGTTTTATGCCTAATGTTATGTTTCCTGTAGGTTACAGAGTGAAATTGTAGTACTGGAGGAGTCTCTTTTGTTACACTGTAAACTAAGGGTCACCTTCTCTGTCTGTTAAAACAATAACTGCTCAATAACCTAAATTTCCAGATTCACAACAACAGTTGTTCTCTTTCTGATGTATTGTTTTTGAAAAATGAAAAAATAAAGAAATAAATAAACATTGCGGGTTAATGAGGAAGTTACTTCCCTCTGTTGTTTTTGCAGTCAGTTTGTAGTCATTAGTTGGCACATTTATCTCTGTCTTRTTAAAACCTTTGAAAACAGTAAGTCTATTTTTTCATTTTGACAGAGGACTCTGTATCTAACCACCCTGTATCTATATATTATTTTAATATGTTTTGGTTCCAAACTATTTTTATAACCATGTAAGTTGAGGTAGAGCTGTTTTCAGTTTAGGTCTACTGTTTTTCCTTCTATCGCTGCTCCCATGTTGATGATGATTTCTGTGTATTTTCTTCCTCTTTTGCAGCACTTGTAAAGCCATTCGTACGTATGCTGAGCAGAACTGCATTCCAGACCTTGGAGCTCACGTAATGGGCTGTTTTCCTCATGAAGACCGATGGTACAGAGCTCAGGTGACGAAAATTTGCGGAGTGAGCCAAGGTGGGTCTGGTTTGCTGTGGCATGGTTTTACAAAGATGTGCCTCTAGATGGCAGCAGAGCCACTCTGCCTGACTGTGGCCACTTGGGAAGCTCATAGTAACTTTTTTTTTCTTTCAAGATAACAGTGATGTGAGTGGTGCTGGGGGGAAAACCTCCATAAAGGTGGAGGTGAAGAGGCTGGACTATGGTGACACTTCCTGTCTGTCACTCTGGAGCATGAAGGAACTCACCCCAGAAATGGCTGCTCTGCCTCTTCAAGCTCTGCAGGTTTCACTGGCAAATGTGAGCGATCCACTGTTTGTACTGTTAGCAAAATATCTCACGAACCGTTTAACATGTTTTAATGAACGTTGGATGTTGCTGAGTGTCTAACAAATTTTTTTATTYATGGATTTCTCTTATGTAAATGCACAAATGGTTTCAGAAACTGATGTCTAAAATGGTCAAACAAAAGAAGCTTAAAAGCTGTTTAGTGGGAATAAAAGTGTATTAGTATCTACCTTCATCTACTTTGTTGGTCACTGATTTTATCTTTAACTTCAAAATGAAGGAAGTAAACAACAATCTCATTTCACGGTCATTAGTATCTTGTTTCTTCCACCCTCAGGTGAGGCCTATTAATGGGAGCCACTGGTCTGACGAGGCAGTGGGTTGGTTCAGAGCAATGGTCCACAACAGGACACTTTATGCCAGATTTTACCCACAGGGGCCCACCGTCACCGTCGAACTATTCCTGGAAAAGGGGAAGTTAGGAGCTATGAGGTACTTCAGACAGAAACAGTCTATTTCTGCATTTCCAAAATGTGATCAAACAGAACTACAAATGCTAAACATGTCACCAAAAGGATTTTTACCTCCGCCGAGGAGGTAATGTTTTCGGTCGCGTATGTCTGTCTGTCTGTCTGTCTGTCTGTCTGTCTGTGGACAGCATAACTCAAAAACGTGGAAGGATTGTCATGACATTTACACCACATGTTCATACTAGCACACGTAACACACCATTAAATTTTGGTGATGTTTCGGATCACGATGTCGACAGGATTATTTCTTTTAATTCGAGCGAATCAGCCGGAAGTTGCGAGCTCAGATCAGAAAAATTAGTCCCAATAACCCTAGGTGGGCTGCTAAAACAAACAGTGGTGCTTATTAAAAACAAAAATTCACAAAATAAGAGATGCCTTGTCCCTGTTAGTGCTGCATACATTAAATCTCTGTTTGTCTCTGGCATCCAGCAGAGAGATGCACAGAGCAGCTGCTCTAACAGGGCCGAGCAGCTTCAAACAGAAAACTTCTCCCATAAAGCTCAGCCTGACAACAAATCAGCTGTTTACCTAAGAAGACGAATTTGAAAAGTCTTCCAGCTAGATCTAACAGAGATGCGCAGTGCTGCAACTCGTCATTTCACTGTGGAACATCACCTGTCAGTCACAAGGGGCACAACAAGTGGGGGTGGCCACGGGGGGGGCTGTGCCCCACCAGTTTTAACCTCTTGAGTCCCAAGCTTTGTGCTTATTTAAATATTTCCCAGCTATATAGGATAAGTAGAACCTTAAACAGCGGGTAAAATAAGTATTGAACACATCAACATTTTTCTCAGTAAATATATTACTAGAGGTGCTAATGACATGAAATTTTCACCAGATGTTGGTAACAACCCAAGTGATCCATACATACAAAGAAATCAAACCATAAATKTCCAGAAATGAAGTTATTTGTAATAATGTGGAATGGCACAGGGAAAAAGTATTGAACACACTTACTGAAATTTATCTAATACTTTGTACAAAAGCCTTTGTTGTCAATGACAGCTTCAAGACGCCTCCTGTATGGAGAAACTAGTGGCATGCATTTCTCAGGTGTGATTTTGGCCCATTCTTCCACACAGTCTTCAAATCTTGAAGGTTTCGTGGACCTCTTCTATGAACTCTGATCTTTAGTTCTTTCCATAGATTTTCTGTTGGATTCAGGTCAGGTGATTGGCTGGGCCATTCCAGCAGCTTTAGTTTCTTTCTCTGAAACCAACTGAGAGTTTCCTTGGCTTTGTGTTTGGGCTCATTGTCTTGCTGAAATGTCCAGCCACGTTTCATCTTCATCATCCTGGTAGATGGAAGCAGATTTTTATCAAGAATGTCTCTGTACATTTTTCCACTCATCCTTCCTTCAATTATTTGAAGTTTGCCAGTACCACATGCTGAAAAACAGCCCCACACCATGATGTTCCCACCTCCAAACTTCACTGTTGGTATGGTGTTTTTGGGCTGATGTGCAGTGCCATTTGACCTCCAAACATGATGTGTATTCTGGCATCCAAACAGTTCAATGTTGGTCTCATCTGACCAGACTATATTCTCCCAGTATTACACAGGCTTGTCTAAATGTTGTGCAGCAAACTTTAAAGGAGCTTCAACATGCTGTTTCTTCAGCAGTGGAGTCTTGCGTGGTGAGCGTGCATACAGGCCATGGTGGTTCAGTGCATTACTTATTGTTTTCTTTGAAACAATCGTACCTGCTAATTCCAGGTCTTTCTGAAGCTCTCCACAAGTGGTCCTTGGCTCTTGGACAACTCTTCTGATAATTCTTTTCACTCCTCTGTCAGAAATCTTGCGAGGAGCACCTGGTCGTGGTCAGTTTATGGTGAAATGATGTTCTTTCCACTTCTGAATTATGGCCCCAACAGTGCTCACTGGAACCTTCGGAAGTTTAGACATTCTTCTGTAACCGATGCCATCATTATGCTTTGCAACAATAAGGTTGTGAAGGTCTTGAGAGAGCTCTTTACTTTTACCCATCATCAGATGGTTCTTGTGTGATACCTGGCCATCATTTGGGACTGAACCAGCTGATATTAAYTTGCACTGACAAGGGGCAGGCTTGCTTTCAAATTACTGAGAGAGTTCAGCTGGTGTCTTGGCTTTCCATGCCTTTTTACCCCTCCCTTTCTTCATGTGTTCAATACTTTTTCCCTGTGCCATTCCACATTATTACAAATAACTTCATTTCTGGACATTTATGGTTTGATTTCTTTGTATGTATGGATCACTTGGGTTGTTACAGACATCTGGTGAAGATTTCATGTTATTAGCACCTCTAGTAATATATTTATTGAGAAAAATGGTGACGTGTTCAATACTTATTTTACCCGCTGTACCCGTGCTACAGTTTGAACTTGAACCCCTAAAAACATGTACAAAAGGTTGCCTTCAGGCCCAGGCCTCCCTTGAAAAAGAGATCTGTGATCTCAACAGGACTTGCCTGGTTAAATAACGGTAAAATAATATAAGTAAAAGTTTATTAAAAACGGGATTTAATTGCAGAAATGGAGGTTTATCCACATTTCATCCCTACAAGTAACAATTACTGTCTAACCACGTAAAAATAAAACAGACTTGTCTTATCATTTTCATTGTTAGATTTTATTTCAAAAAGCAATTTTATTATTCTGTTGATCTTTCTACAACCCCTGGCAAAAAGTATGGACCCAGTTTTGGATGAGCACTCATTCAGACATTTCATTCTGTAAAACAAACTCACATCAAAAACATGATACAATAATAAGGTGCAAAGTGCAAGTTGTTGGCTTTCAGGAACACTCAAAGAAATGAAGAGAAAACATTGTGGATGTCAGTGAATGTTACTTTTATTGACCAAGCACAGGGGAGAAATATGTAATCACTCAATTCTGAGGAAAAAAGTATGGAATCACTCAATTCTGAGGAAAAAAGTATGGAATCATAAAAAAACAGATAAACAAAAGACCATTCAAAATGCATCACTAGTATTTAGTTGCACCACCTTTGGCTTTTATAACAGCTTGCAGTCTCTGGGGCATGGACTTGATGAGTGACAAACAGTATTTTTCATCAACTTGGTGCCAACTCTTTTTGATAGCAGTTGCCARATCAGCTTTGCAGGTCGGAGCCTTCTTGTGTACCTTCTTTTTTTTCAATTTCCACGACAGGTTTTCAGTTGGGTTGAGATCTGGACTATTTGCAGGCCATGACATCGACTGAATGTGTACGGAAGCGTGTTGCTATCAGGCAGGAAAAAAAAATTCCGAGCGCTATCACGTTATAACGTGATACGTATCTTGTTAAAACGTGATACGTATCACGTTTTAACGTGATAGTATTAACGCTATCACGTTATAACGTGATACGTATCTTGTTAAAACGTGATACGTATCACGTTTTAACGTGATAGTATCTCGTTAAAACGTGATACGTATCTCGTTAAAACGTGATACGTATCTCGTTAAAACGTGATACGTATCTCGTTTTAAC